GCGTAATGATGCCGTATTGTATGAAGATTTTATGTGAGGACTACAACTGGAACTTTTTGTTCTACTTTTGCATGTTTGTTCGATACCTCTTCGGAGGATGCCCGAATGGCTGTTTACTTTTTCGCGAGTACCATTCTCTGTGTTAAGCGATTTTCACCGGCTATCAGCAAAATAAGCAATACTTAACGGATTTTGCTTCCTCATGTAGTCGAACTGATGTCACAAATTTTGCTGTTCTGGCTGAGAACTGATAGTTTATAAGGTCACAAAGAAAAATTTCAAGTAATTCCAGTGTTGTTCTGATTTTCGTGAAATATTGGAAGTGGGAACATGCTTAAAGCGACCTTTGTCAGTGAATAACGTTGCCGATTACTTCGAAGAAGTTATAAAAATTTTTTGTATAGCCATTGACATCAGAAAGGGTTTTCAAAATGTCCATCCATCCTGCAGCATTTGCTGAATCCAGTGCTACTTTTCCACCCCGTTTTTTGCCTTCCTACTTCATCCATCCTGCTTTCGCTGGATATTGTGCCTGTCCACTTAACGTCTTTCAGCCTAATTTAGCCCTTCATCAGAGTTAGCTCGGCTCAGCACAACATGCGCTTCTCGCGACAACCGAGTTTGACATCTTTCTGAATTGACTTCCGACTTTCATTCACTTTGGCGTCTTTCATTATAGATTAGCTCTTCCTTTCGCTGAATTAATCTAATTTCAATTAAGTTCTTCCAGATGCGCTTAAATTAGCTCTTGTGATTGGCTTCCTTTGATGTGTCATATGTGCAAAAATTTTTGATAGAAGATGATGATGGCTTTAGCACTGGCTCATTTGGAATCTCAGTGATCGCCACAGGCTTTATTTGGCTCATCTCTCTTAGAAAAGTTTATACTTTGTGATGAGATGCTAGCACACCAAATGCACTCTGATGATGCCCTATAAAGCAAAACGTGGATGCGTATGTACATAACTTACCAAATTTGAAATGAAACCGACGACGTAACCTTTGTCGAGTGCACGACTGCTTTGTTCTATTAAAATAATACAAGCATTCCGCTTACAGCCGGTCCGAAAAATAACAGCGTGGAAAAATTGTCGGGATAAACAGCTTGTGCGCAAAAATGGGGTGCACGATGAGCCAGGAGGAGCGGGCCGCCCTCGAACGGTCCCGGATGATTGAGAAGAATTTGAAGGAAGATGGCTTGCAAGCTGCTAAAGATATCAAACTCTTACTTCTAGGTTTGTCGATTTCACTCAACACTTCATGCTTTAAAAAAAAAATATTTTGCTTTTTCTTAAAAATAGTTAAAAAAGAATTGACTGGTAGTTTCCTGCTTTCACCCATTTCTGTCCATTAAAGTGCTTTTTAATTTTATGCTCGAGCAACTTTTTAGTGGTATCTTTTGGGTACACATCATCAGTAAAGCTCCCGAACAACTTTTATGCTGATCTGTTTTTATCAGTAGTTTCATTGAGATATACTTACAAGCTAGATGCAGGCTTTCCTGTCCGGTACTGTATGCTTTCAGTAAGACTGTTTACTTCCGCCACTTCTAGCAAACATCTCGAATGGCCGTTTTCTCGCCACTTCTGCCGAGCCTTCCTCTCGAGTGACCGTTTCTTTCTCACCGGTGCCATTCAACAACACGCTGTGTTAACAAGGGAGCAATATGCTCTGCATATCGAATTTTGCTGTTATCGTGATCGTAACAATATTTTACGTGCACATGTTTCTGCACACGCATGTTTTAAAATGCTTTGATCAGCTACAATCTATAGCATTAAATGCTCCACTTATGCAGCTAGCAACATTTCTAGTTGCTCTAGCTAATGCTGCATCGCATGGTGGTCTATTGGTTGTCCTGACATTCGTCTCGTCTCCTTAAAGAATTACCAACTCAAAAGACCTCCCGACAGAAACTCTTGACAAGGTTTATGTTATTTTGAGGTGTTTTTGGTGTGCCAGACATCTTTGCCACGTCTCGAATATTGCCACTCCCAGGCATAATGAAATTTCTCACCAGTTAAGAAATACTTTAAAATGCATTTTAGTTTTTGAGCATTGGCCTTTTTTGTGCTAAATCCCGTGAACTATATGGTGACTGGAAGAAGAAACTGAAAAAATGACTGCATTTGCAGGAGCTGGTGAATCGGGCAAATCGACAATCGTGAAGCAGATGAAGTATGCTTTTTGTTTTGAGCTGCTTTTGTTTGTTGCTGTATAAGCCGGCCGAGTTCCACTTGTTTTGTTCCAGGGGCAATCATAAACTTATTACGTTTTTGTTGTGCAGCGCTTGAACGAAAACGCAATTGTGACGACCCCTTCTGTGTGTATAGGAGTTTTTCCCTGCTCACGTACAACTTAAAGATTATTCCAAATTCTGCTTCTGGCTGTGCACGTTCCTCAAAGCATAGGCGCGTGAAAGTTTTGACGGGAAATTTTTGACTCGGGAAGCAGAAAAACAGAAAGCCTGGAATAATGAGAAGATATTCCCTGAAAAAGTACGACTTAAAATTTTTATATTTAGCTCCTACGTGAGTCTCGTCCTCACGCAGGGACGTGTGAAAACTTTAGGGAGAAAATTACTAATTCGTGAACCAGAAAAGCTAAGAGGTTCAAATTTCAAGAGGATGTTCCCTATCTGCACTCAGCTTAAAAATGTTAAATTCAGTCCCCCAGGTACGTACGATAGTCAGATACGAGTACATTAAACTTCCGTCGGGAAAACTGTTCATTGAACAGTTTGATCAATTTCAAGGGACGACCGTTCAACGGAAATTTTT